TCTGATGCTGCCTGGCCTGCTGTGTTCCTCCAGCTCCACACTGTGTTATTTTACACTGCTTACTCTGTTTGCTCAAACCCGCCCAAATGTAAACAAATTCCCATTAGCCTCCACGATCACACACTCAGACTGGTTTTAAAAAGTATTCGTCATGGCTAGAGAAATACCTATGAGTGAATCATTAAATCCCTTCAGACACACAGAAAACCCATATGCCACCTGTTCAAAATTCACAGATGTGAAATAAACGATATCAAATCACACTTAAGTCAATCATTCGTCACTGTTAAGTAGGCTAGTAAAATTTATTAAGCAGACTTGCAACAAAAATAACCATTTAGGCACTAAAGGAAATGTCTTGGAACCAGCTTTGAGGCCATAACAAATGGTGAGACCAAGAATATGGAGGATTGTGAAGGAGTAGAGCTGGTGTTGGAAATTGAAAACTGTAATTTCAATTCAGCAAGGTCATAACATAGAATGAGAAAAGGGCATTTTGCTCATTTAAACAAGCTCTTCACTTGAACTGGTGGTGTTTGATGCATGCCCTGTACGCTTGAAATGAAACATGTTTTAATTTCAGCATTAACAGTCTTAACTTTGAGTGTAAAATTCACAAAATAAAGCTTTAAACTCTTGATGCACCACAATCACAAAGTTCTGAATATGATAAGTGCATACTTACAAACTTCCTTTTCGTGGCAAACTTAATTCTTTCTGCAAAATAAACACAAAAAGATGCACATTATTTCAACAAATAGTTTAATTTAGCACTGTTCAATACAAATTCAGTTAAAAAGAGAGGCATGTATAAACGTCACATTCCGATCTAGTAGGAACAATAAAATGGCATCATGGCACTGTAAGCTTAAAGCTCAACTCTGTCATGGTCTTGGATGACAAACCGTGACAGAAAGCAGGACTCACAATCCAATGGTGATAGAATTTGGATTATTAATAAATCCTTTTTTTTAAAATGTAGCACAAACCATTCACTTACAAATCATGCTACAGCATTAGGATGGAAATGAGAAAAGATATTGAAATGCTTCCAGATCGTTGTTGGGCACAATGATTATAATCTAATCAGATGACTTCTCCTCCTCTCTGCTTCAATATCAACCACGTAATCACTGTTGAACTAAGAATTCCACAAATTCATTAAATGTTTGTTTAACTTCTCACACTTTCTCTACTCATCCGCTTGACCACTACTTTTTCCTGAAAATAAATAGCTTGAATTCCCAACAAGCCATGACTATAAGTGCAAGCAAACTCTCAATTCTATTGAGTTTAGTCCAACATTTAAAAATAAATTCACAAATTGGTAGCAAAAGAAATGAATTGAAAACGGACAGATTATCTAAATTTAGCCATTAAAAACATATGATATTCAAGTGTTTCAAATCTGCCATGAGGAATGTTTCATTAATTTGTATTATCTATGGATATCTTTACTGCAGCCTGCAAGAACTCTCAACAATCTCTTAGGAAAATGTCATGTATTGATTGATTTGTGCCAGAGAGAAAGAAAGGCTTTACACATGCAGTCTTGCATATTGCACAAATTCAAGGATGTACCACTAGGTGGTAGTGAGTACATGCTTATAAATCCAACACCTCAAAATATGACAACACAGCAGCAGCAAACCAAGAACTAACACTTTCATTGGTGCAATTTTATTACCTTCTTTATTGCCATTAAATTAAATAACTTCTTTATTCATGTGCCCTTTTCCCATTTTGCAAGGTTTTTGAGGAAATAGCACCTAATCTTTCACTGGGCTTTTCAGGACAGGAATTAGGCCTCAAAGTTCAGCCACTTAGGCTGTAGGCATCACATCAAAATAATGCAAGAATTTAAAGGCAATATGCACGACTCAGAACATTTATTGCTGTGTCGTATTTCAGCTCCCAATGCAGCCCACGTTTTGGAAAGCCTTGGTATATAATATGTAAACTTCACCTTTCAAATATCACACATAGACTCTGAATTTCTGTTTTTTACATCCTAGACACCTCCCTTTAAAAGGTTTCATTTTTTGTTTTAAAACAATTTAGTTTTAAACTACTAGGCTTCAAAAAAATACGCTGTACATAATTTACAAATATGCAAGCATGAAGAAGTCATAAAACAAAGCATTATGTGAACATCCTTGGTGGAAGGTTTATTTCAGTTAATACTTCAGTTTCATAGCCCAATTAACTAAAATATGAAAGGGGGCTTAAAGGAAAAAAACAAACATTCCTTGCGAAAAAGAAAGAAACAAAAATGGAGGTAGAAATCCAGAGTTCCCATTCAAATCTACTGAAAATTTATCTACAATAAATAATGCTATCGATACAAGAACTTGCAATTATGTAGGCGAGTAACCTCAGATTATTGCCAATTTAAAACAGTACTGGTATTTCTTTATACCAGCATTGCCTGTAAAGTCCTGAAAGTCTTCAATGCCTTGCCTGGATGCATAGAAGTGAAAGATTTAAATTCTGATCTAGTGTTTCAGCATCATAAATTACAATGATATACTTAGATTAGTAAAAATGCAAATCACAACTCGACTAAAGGGTATTCAATCATTCCCTAGCTAACTACAACAGAAAACTAAATCAAAAGGAAACCAAATTAAGCTGACGCATCACAAGAGACACAAGGCTTTTAATATGCTTTATGTTTCAGCTGTGCTCTGAAGCACAACATATTTCCCCTAGGTAACAAACATGATGCATGATTATTACTATTTCATTTCCGAATTCATCATCATCATTAGCTGGATCCTGAACATTTCAAGGCTCTACAGATGGTGACATTTTTTCACTTACATTGGAAGCTGAATGCTATTTAACAGGAGCTTTGTCAGCTGTGCATTTCAATGACATTGCCTACATCTTGTTCTTGAAATAATGCAATCTGAAACCAATAGTTGTGTGTCAAGATTTGACCATACATAATATGGATAACAGAGCACTTTAGCTGTCAATTCAAATACATTATCTACATTACATTAGGAATGCACACAGCACTCAATCTGGAGGTCAGTAATTCAATCCCTTAAATGCTTTCATCCATTAAGTGTGCATAATTTTGACTCACAATTACGCAATATATGTTTTAATCAATACTTCACCAAACCTTAGTTGACAATTTCTTAGTAAATTTGTCTTCCAACTCTTTTTAAAAAAGGGTAATTATTTGATTCTATAATTATATGATTTATATTACCATAGATCATGGCAACCCTTGAAGCTTCAAAAAATCCTTCCAAAATTAAGGGTTACCTTGTAAAAAACACAAAACATGAACACTGGGGTTAGTGCGCCCTTGTTGGTCAGTCATCCTTTACAATGTGCTCTGTGTGACCATGCCTTAAAAATATATATATATATATTCATATGTGATCTTGGTCTTTTTCTACAGTGCCGGGAGCCATTCAAAGTTTTCATATGATAAAAAAAAATTGGGAGAATAGCAAACTGTGAGAAGGGTAGTGCTGAGATTCAAAACAACATTGATAAATAGATAGAGAGTGTATTAGATGGTAAATGAAGTTCAATGTGGAGAAGTGCGAGATGACATATGATACAAGGAACATAAGAACTCAGTATAAAATAAAGGGTATTAATCTAAAGGATGTGCATCAGCAGAGAGATCTGGGTGGGTGTGTGCATAAATCATTAAAAGGTGACAGGACAAGTACAGCATTCATAAAGCAAACACTATTCTAGGATTCATTAATGGGAGCATAGAGTACAAGAGCAGGGAATTTATGCTAAACTTATATGGGACGCAGGTTAAACTTCAGCTGCAGTACTGTATACAGGACTGGCGCTACACTTTAGCAAGGACAGGAATGTATTGGAGAGTGCAGAAGAATGTTTCCAGACAAGAGAAGCTTCAGTTATGAGGATAGATTGGATAAGCTGGGACAGTATTCTCTGTAGAGAAGACCAAGAGGAGATTTGATATAAAAGTTTTAAAAATTATAAGTGGTTTTGGATAGAGCAGATAGACAGAAACTTGTAAAAGGCCAGAGGGCACAGTTTTGAAGTGTTTTACAGAAATAAGCAAATGCAAGATGAGAAAAACCGTTTTCACACAGCAAGTTATTAGGATATGGAATACACTGCCTGGAAATGGGGTGGAAGCAGATTCAGTTGAGGCATTCAAGAGGGTATTGGCTGATTATTTAAATAGAAACAATGTACAGGATTATGGAGATAAAGCAGGGGATTGCCACCATAGAGAGCTAGTGCAGACGTGATGGGTTGACTAGCCACTTTCTGCACCATGATTCTGTGAAATTCTCACATTCTGCTTGGCAAATAGTCTGAAAACATGCTTAACCCCACACAGCAACTTACAATCAACTATAATATTAAGCATTCCTGTCTAAGCTAAAAAAGAGACAAAGTCCAAATTATATGTCCCAAACACTCAGCTATTAGCTTAAATATGGTTAACTTTATATCAAGTATAGTCCTAAACATGCGCATTGATACTGAAAGAATGATGTTATCTTATATACTGGATCAACTTAAGTAACACAATCTGTTATGCTTACCAAAGAAATATTGCAAAAGAAATACAGCTGGCATCAGATCCCACAGTACACTGATCATACAGTACAAACATTATGGAAACATGGCTTTATTTAGCTATAATTAATCAGATTTGAAATAATACAATCGATAGAAAAAAGTCATTGCTTGTTAATATTTTCATGAAGTCAGCTACAGTTAGACATTGTTTGGGAAAACCTAAATCAAGTGTAAAGGACATTAGAAGTTAATTATCATGCAAATTCATCCATCTCCTGTTCTCCATAAAATTGTTAAACATCTCTAAATCTTTTCCTATTCATATACCTATCTAAATGTCTTTTAAATGTTGTAGCTGTACCTGCATCTAACACTTCCTCTGGCAGATCATTCCACATGTGAAACACCCTCTGTGTGAAAATGTTAGCCCTCAGATCCCTTTAAACCTTTCTCCTCTCACCTTAAAATTATGCCTTCTAGTTTTGAACTCCCCCACCCTAGGGAAAAGACCTTTGCTATTCACTTTACCTTTGCTATTCACCTTATCTATGCTCCTCATGATTTTATAAATCTCTATAAGGTCACCCCTCAACGTCCTATGCTCCAGTGAAAGAAGTCCCGGCTTATCCAGCCTCTTCTTATACCTCAAACACTCCATTCTTGGTAACATCCTTATAATCTTTTCTGTACCTTCTCCAATTTGGTAATATGCTTCCTATACCAGAACGACCAAAACTGCACACAGTACTCCAAAAGTGGCCTCACCAACATCCTGTACAATAACAACACAAATGTCCCAACTCCTGTATTTGGTCTGAGCAATTAAGGCAAGCATGCCATACGCCTTCTTTACCATGCTGTGATGCAACTTTCAATGAACTGTGTACCTGAACCCCTGGGTCTCTCTGTTCTACAAGAGTCAAGACTATACTGTCAGATAATTTAAAACTAGTGTTTAATTCACACGTAGAAGCTTATCAGTTAACAACATACATCACATGACAGTTATCAGCAACAAAAGAGCTCAAGACTTTAAAGTCCCATGTTTGGAAGCCCCTTCACAATTTGACACACAAAGCACTAATTTTTAAATTACAAATAAATATTGATGTTAGAACTCACTTGACTACTTTTGACTTCAGATTCTAGACTTTGGAGGTTTAACATTTAATCTTGCT